TGACACTGAAGACTGGACTAATGGCTGCTGAAAATTCAGCTTTGATTCACAGGAATAAATTACATTTTAAAATATATGAAAATAGAAAACAGTTATTTTAAATTGTTAAATAAATGAAATAATTTTTCACAATATTACTGTTTTTAATGTATTAATATATGTAAAGCTGTAATTTTACCAAAGTATGAGTGTAAACATATTTAACTGAAAGAAATACTTACATTTAATTTGCATTTAAAACAACTGATTTTAGTTTTTAGTATTTTATTGTTTAATTTATTTAGTATTTAGTAGTACATAATTTTAATAACATGTAACAGTTATCCACCATAGCATGAAAATGGATCATAATACCATGTGCCTATGCTGGTGGCTGCTGAGTTTGAAGGTGTACACCCCAGGCTCATGGAGACTTATGGAAAAAAGGGAGTGGGTAGATCGTGCCAGTTCTTGGTCCTGTGCCAGTAATCTGAAGGGTCCCCAGTCAAATGCATCATTAGTGTTGTACAAGCTGTCTCTGTGAAAAAAAGCAGGATTCCCTCTGTGACAATCTGGGACAGTGAAAATGGATGGGCTACAGATGAATCACATGTCAGCATGTACTTACACATCATACTGAGGATAGTGCTGTTGGGTCACGGTAAAGAGAAGAATGTCTCCCGGGTGTAGACATGCTGTTGGGTTCAAGACTCCTCCAGGCCTCATGTCGGACGTATCGAACGCTGATGATTTACTGGACCAATGAGAGTCCCAATCTTCCTCTTTGTCTTTGATGTTTCCTAACAAAACATATCTCATTAAACATGTCTAATACACTGGTTGTGTGTATATATAAGACACATTGATGTATTACATACCTCGGTCTGTATCTAGGGGCTCAAAATGGCTGTTGGTTTGGTGGCTGTGGGCCAGAATCAATCTCCTGACCTCCACAGGGACGGCATTAAGCAGACCAAAGAAGCCCGCCTCTGCACAATGGCAAACAGAGAGCAGGCTGCTGATAAACCGTGGTCATGAAACCCTCTCTACTTCCTGCCCTTGTCTCTGGCCACTCACCTCCTGTTTTAACTGTGTACACAGGCCTGGAGAAGTTGAGCTGCACATTGCATTCTAAGCTCCCACGGGAGTCCCAGTGTTTGAGGACGGTCTCCAGCATGCTTCTAGACATGCTCACCTTTAAAGAGCAAAAAGTGTAGTTTAATGACAAATAGGTCAGAGTGTTATCCTACCGCTGTTTGTGCTAAGCTGTCACTTGTGTGTAAACAGGGTTGTATTACACTCTCAATGTCTTGTGCAAGTCCCTCACATTGTGTACTTTGTTGTAAACGCTATCCAGTCATACCGTGTTTCCTTTCTTTTTTTGCAGTTAAGCATCCTATGGATTATGACACTTGAAAGAAGGAATAAAAAACTCAAAAGATAAAGTTTTTGCTTGCTGTTGAGGATCTTTACACAGTCATATCATAACTATGGCACTACTTACATTATTGTCTCCCAAAAGAAAGAATAGACTCTGAACAGCCAAAATAAGTCATCAGTTTGAATCCCACTTCCATGAAGGATACACCACGTCACTGGGTAACACATTGGCATAATGCACACCTATGTTCTTCGTTGGACGGCCGTGAACAACTTGACCCACCCTCAAGCACTTTATCTTATTGATGTCGAGAAGACGCTGTGTCCTATGCTGTGAAAGTAAATTTGTTTTATTTTCACATCCTAAAGATGAGGTTGCAAAGAATCAGTACGCAAAATAATTTTTTTCCACTGTACCACAGCAGTACAACCCTAATGTTTTTTTCCCCCGTCATTTTACGGACAACTGCATCTCTAATTTTAAACTAACCTAAGCTAAACGTAAACTAAAGATGATCCAGCAAGGGTCCAGTGATGTCTTTTAGATAGGCCGATCGTCAGCCAGTTGTTGATTCTCCACAGACTGTGGGGGTGATGTGTTGTACTTGGTGATGTTCCTCAGACCAGTCCATACTGATGCTGGGTCATTGGCTGAAAGCTGTTTTTTCAGCTTTTCGGAGTAGCTTTTTTTAGCCACTCTGATCTCCTTTGTTAGTCTGTTTCTGGCCTGGTTATACAAAATTGTATCCCCAATTCTGTAAGTATCCTCCTTGGCATGACAAAGCTGTTTGAGTTTCCCAGTAAACCATAGTTTATAATTTTTGAATGATAGTAATGTCCTGGTAGGAATGCACATATCCTCACAGAAACTGATGTATGATGTTACAGCTCGTCCAGATCGGTGGCAGCAGCTTCAAAAACACTCCAAAGTAAATTTGTTTTATTTTCACATCCTAAAGATGAGGTTGCAAAGAATCAGTACGCAAAATAATTTTTTTCCACTGTACCACAGCAGTACAACCCTAATGTTTTTTTCCCCCGTCATTTTACGGACAACTGCATCTCTAATTTTAAACTAACCTAAGCTAAACGTAAACTAAAGATGATCCAGCAAGGGTCCAGTGATGTCTTTTAGATAGGCCAACACCAGTCTCTCAAATGACTTCATGACCACAGACGTGAGAGCAACAGGTCTGTAATCATTAAGTCCAGTGATTTTGGGCTTTTTGGGGACTGGAATGATGGTGGAGCATTTGAAGCAGCAGGGAACTTCACACAGCTCCAATGATCTGTTAGGCAGTAAATCACATTCAAATCGTCAGCCAGTTGTTGATTCTCCACAGACTGCGGGGGTGGTGTCTTGTACTTGGTGATATTCCTCAGACCAGTCCATACTGATGCCAGGTTGTTGGGGTTTTTTTCTCAGCTTTTCAGAGTAGATTTTTGTAGCCACTCTGATCTCCTCTGTTAGTCTGTTTCTGGCCTGGTTATGCAAGATTTTATCCCCACTTCTGTAAGCATCCTCCTTGGCATGACGAAGCTGTTTGAGTTTCCCTGTAAACCACGGTTTATCAAATATTGAATGACAGGAATATCCTGGTAGGAATGCACATATCCTCACAGAAACTGATATATGAAGTTACAGTATCTGTGAGCTCATCCAGATTGGTGGCTGCAGCTTCAAAAACACTCTAATCAGTGCAGTCGAAGCAGGCTTGTAAATCCGGATCTACTTCATTAGTCCATCAAACTGATTTCAGTTTCTGCCTGTAGGTTGGTATGAGATGAACTAGACAGTGATCAGAGAGCCCCAAAGCTGCCCGTGGGACAGAGCAATGCAAGCAACAGGTCTGTAGTTTTGTTAAATCCAGTGATTTGGTTTTTTTGGGGGGACCGGAATGATAGTGGAGTGTTTGAAGCAGGAGGGAACTTCACACAGCTCCAGAGAACAGTTGAAGATCTGTGTAAAGATGAGGGCCAGTTGGTCAGCGCAGACTTTTAAACAGGCAAGTGAAACACCATCTGGGCCTGAAGCTTTCTTAGTCTTCTGTTTTCTGAAGACCCAGTTCACATCCTGTACACACAATTTAAGCACAGGTTGAATGGTTGGAGAGGAGA